CTGAAAAACAGGCTGATCTCCAACATCTAGAAACAAAGGTGTTGATGGCAGCAGCACAGCTGATATTTCTCTCCAGGATGGAGTCACAGCCAAAAAAATACCAAAAACCTCCACAATACCTTTAAAGTCAGGCGTACCTAAAGAGCATCTTTGATGCTCCTAAAGGGCGTCAGGTAAACAAACCAAAAAAAAAATATCTAGATGTTAACACATGTAGAGATGCTTAGAAAGAGAAAGGCCTTGATTTTCAATCTATAACTGCATTTTACTGCAGTGCTAGCTTGAAGCAATGCTAGCTCATAAATTTAAGATGTAAATATGTTAATTAGGCTTAATGCTCTGGTTTACTTACATAGATGAGCCCTGAGTAGTATCGGTCTTTGAGATTGTGAAGCACCGACGCCTCATTCAAGCAAGTGAGTTCAGCCATGTCTTCCACCTTGGTAAACTTGGGGGGATTCATTTTCTGGATGTCATCCTTGTTGACCACCGCCTTCTTCCCGTTTTCCGCCAGCTCCACCACCATTTCATCGCCGCGCTCTTCGCGGATGCTCGCCGCTTCGAATCCGTTGCGCTCCGATGGGATCCAGACCAGCCTCTTGGCGGTCCAGTCGGCCTGAGCTGCGGGGTTGTAGACGACGGCGCGGTCCACAAAGAGGTACCGCTCTGGGTCATCCTGCCCGCTCCTCTGTGACATCGCTGCGGGGAAACCAGAAGTACAGCAATCTGGGTCACCTGCATGGGAGGAGAACATGAATGGAATTTTATTTATCATTCAGATTAAGGTGGAATTCAGAATAAAAAAATTAAAAAAACTCCTTCATAGCTGGGAAAGATTTGGGTTTCATCAGGTCACATATCTAAATAAATTATCATTTATCCATGTATTCATCCATGTATGATATATTTCTGTCTTTCATCTGTTTTCCTATCAGCCATCTATTTTTCATCTACCCACTTATTTTCCATCTCTGTTTTTTGCAGTTTTCATATCTAAATGTGCTTCAAAAAAGTCGATGTATGTTTGAGCCTTATGAAACTCACTAATAACCGAACCGGCCAGGTTCGTATTTTCCCATTCCTTGGGTGGCGAGCTATGAGAAGGTGTTAAGCCTCAGCCTGGAAAGAAGCACCTGCAACTTCCATCAGTGCAGTAAGAAACACTGCAGCTTGCTCCCCCAACCCACACACATCCACATACCAACATCGCAATATCATTGATCACATCTCACAACCAAACTTTTGAGACAATTATACATCCTCGTGGGGGCTATATCTATAATTTAAAGCTCTTTTAATGCTCTTAGAAATAATTTTAATGCCATCAACAAATACCCACACTGCAAAAACGAT